TTTTGTATCAGGGATTGAACTTGGGCCCTTGTGCTTGCAACGCAGGCAGCAGAACCACTGAGGCAAATCCCCAGCCCTCCGTTTTAATGTTTAGGTCTTTAATCCATTTTGATTTTAGGTTAGTGCACGGTGAAAGATATGTGTGTAGTTTTAATATTTGGCCCGTGAAAAGTCACTGTGGGGGGGGGCTATCAGAGATCGAACTCAGGACCTTGAGCGTGTGAGGGAGGTGGTGGAACCTCTGAGCTAAGTCCTTGGCTTGTAAGCCAGTTTTTGCAGCACCATTTATTAAAGAGGCCGCCTTTCTTCTAGTAGAGGTGTTTGGCTCCTTTGTCAAACATGAGGTGGCTGAGTGTCTGGAGTTGTTTCTGTCTCTTCTAGTCTGTTCCATTGATCCTCAGGTCTATTTTGCCAGTACCTTGCTGTTTTTCTCATCCTAGTTTCATAGTATAATTTGTGTTTGTTTGGTTGGTTGGGTTTTTGTTGTTGTTGTTCTTTTTTGGTACCAAGGATCAAACTCAGGACTTTGCACTTTCGAGGCAGATGGTGGTGCCACTGATCTAAACCCCCAGCCCATTGTAGTGTAAAGTTAAGGATGGTGATGCCCCTGCCTTGCTCTGTGCCCATTAGCTGTTGCCCCCCCGCCGATTTCCCTTACCACCCTGTGTAACAATAAGCCTCCGTCCTTCTCCAGGGAGTTTGCCTGTTCTGGACATTTTCTATGTATAGAATCCTTGAACCTGTAGGTATTGATGAACTGGGCATAGTGATGCACGCCGGTAACCCCCAGCCCTCAGGAGGCTGAGGCAGGAGGATCGCTGTGACTAAGGCCAGCCTGGGCTACATAGTGAGTTCAAGGCTAACCTACACTACATAGCGACAGGGCCAGGATTTAGCTCAGTGGTTCTGCTGTCTACCTGCCCTACAAGTACAAGGTCCCGAGTTCTGGGACAAGTTCCTGGTTTAGGGAAAAAAAAAAAAAAAGGCAAATCAATAGACTACATAAAAGGGCAGGGGATTTAGCTCAGTGGTGCTGCCACCTGCCTCGCAAGTGCAAGGTCCTGATCCCTGGTGCAAGAAGGAAAAGAAAAGAAAAAGGAATATGTAATTCTTTATGACTAGTGTCATCCACACAGCGTGTTTTCAAGGTTCACTTATGTTGTAGGCATGTGCCAGTACTTCATTTCTGTTTGTGGCTAAATATTTAATCATTCATTGGTTGCTAAATGTTCCGGCTGCTTCTCCATGGCCGTAGTGCTGCTCCCACACACTGTGTGCACGTTCTTAGGTAACACCCTTTCATTTCTCTCGGGTGCATAGCTTTGAGTGGGATTCATTGGGCAATAGGAAGAAAGGCCCTTCTGAAAGGGAAGGGGACCAAGAGGGAGGGGAGAGAGGAGGGTTGAGAAAAGGAATTGAGATGTGTTCTGTGCGTGCACAAACTTCCCACAAGAAAACGCTAACGTGTGTGTGTGTGTGTGTACCTATGTCATGGGCTCACTGGTGCTCAGCCTGGCTTTGAACTCAGTTCCCCTGCCCTTCTGAGATCCCTGGCTCTGTGGAACACCCTGATCGTGAAAGCTGGAATGTTGGAGATCAGGAGCCAAAATTATCTTGGGCTAGTTTAGGCCCTTTTAAAAAAATTTAAACGTTTTTTTTTGCACCATTAGAGACTAAACCCAGGGCTAAACCCCCAGCACTGTTTCATTTTTATTTTTGTTTTGAGACAGGGTCTCCTTAGGTTGGACAAGCTGAGCTCCAGCTCGAGATCCTCCTGCCTCAGCCTCCCAGAGTGCTGGGAGGAAGGCAGTGGTGAGCCAGACCCATTCCAGGCGTAGGAACTGTGGAGCCAAAGCAGAGCGGGAAGGAGCCTGGCGGTCCTGAGTTCAGCTCCAGGACCCACCGGAGAAGCTGGGGAGTGGAGGGGAGGGGGATATGACCAGTACGCCACCTTGTGGCGGAATGGAAATATTCGAACTTGAGCCGAGAGCGTGTCGTGTCGGTGGGATTCAGTCGGAGCAAGGCCCAGCCTGCTGAAACAGCGGTGGCTGCAGAAGGTTCAGTTCCTGTAGAATACTGCCCGTCTGCTGCGTCAGAGGAATGCCCCAGCCCAGGGCTGCTCCAGACCTTTTCCAGCCCAGCTGTACTGGCAAATGCCTGTAATCCCAAGGTGAGGCTGAGGCAGGAGGATTACGAGATTGAGCCCAGCCTGTCTCAAAATAAAAAGGGGGTGGGGGGAAGTGAGCAAGGTTTCCAGGAAGGGCCAGTGTGAGGCAGGCCAGCCGGTGCCAGGGTCCTGAGGCAGGAGGGTGAGGAGTGAGGAATAGCACGGCCCTGGGGATGGGGCGGATTATAATGTGCGCTCCCCTGGAGACACCGTGGTCAGACCACAGTTCTTACGTAATTATGCTAGAGAGGCGGGCAGAAGGAGAGCTTGTGTGTTAGAAGTGTGGGCAGAGGGAGGAAAGAGAGTTAATTACTTATTTTACCAACACAGAAGTCAAAGGATCATTAATAAAATGGACAAATGAAGTCAAGCTACTCAGGAGGCTGAGGCAAGAGGATCACAAGTTCAAGACCAGCCTAGGAAACATTCAGATGTCTCAAAATAAACAAAGGGCTGGGGATTTAGCTCTGGTGCCACCGCCTGCTTTGCAAGCACAAGGACCTGAGTTTAATCCCCAGGACCAAAAATAAAAAATAAAATGGGATGGGGGTGTGGCTCAGTGTGAAGGCCCTGGGTTCAGCCCCAGTACCAGGTGTGTGTGTGTGTGTATGTGTGTCTGTCTGCTCTTGTGTTGTTGTGTTGATGCAAATATCTTACTTAAGACTGGTGCCAATGCTAAAATTAGAAGCTAAAGGAAATGAAAGTAGCTGAATGTGGTGGCGAATGCCTGACATCCCTGCACTTGGGAGGCTGAGGCAGGAGGATTGTCATGAGTGAGGCCAGCCTGGGCTACCTGGTGAGTTTCGGGCCAGTATAATTTACATAGTGAGAGCCTGTCTCAAAAAAAAGCGGGGGATTTGGCTCAGTGGTTCCGCCACCTGCCCCGCAAGTGGTACCAAAAAACAAAACAACACCAAAAACTAAAAATGAGAGAAAAACTTGCTTAATGAGATCAATAATCTGAACAGGACGTTGCAACAACAAGGAAACGTATTTTCCCCACCCTTTGGATAACATGTAGGATGAAAAGGAAGGGTTGCTGCGTGACATAGATGACATGGAAGTGAAAATTCGGCAAGATGTGTTAATTGCAGAATTAAGGTATAGTCACTGCAGTCCAGGCTGGCTTCAACATTATGGCGACCCTCCTGCCTCAGCCTCCTGAGAGCTGACTTTGCAGGTATGTGCCATTCTGCAGTTCTTTGAACTTTTCTCTGCTTGAAAAGCCCTAATAAAACAATGGGCAACATACAGAGAGCTGTACTGTTGCACTTTTAATGCATGCATGTTTTACTACAGGTCGGTTATAGCTACATTTTATAAAAGTCCAAGTTTTAGTTAAGTAGGAAAAATAAGATGCAAATTAGTAAGTAAAGTTTGTTTTTATTTACTAAAAAGTACCTGCTGTTATTAATGTTTACATCTAAACTAGAATCCAAAATCTGGTAAAATCCCTCAGAAGTGTTTCTGGCCCTTTTCAGCTTTGGGCACCAAGTTCCCTACACTACATTTCCAGCCCCCAGGTTTTCCTGTTTGTTTTGAGGCAGAGTCTCACTTTGTAACCCAGGCTGGCCTTGAACTCACGGCCGTTCTCCAGCCTCAGCCTGCTGAGCCCCGAGATTACAGGTGCGGGCCAACTGGATTTCTGATGTATGTTAACAACTGAGACCTGCTCAGAGAGAAGGGATGGGCACGTGGATAGGCGTATACCATCGATTATTTTCATAGTTTGTGGGCTGTATGTACTTTTGCGTCCTGGCCCAGCATGGTGATATTCTCCTGTAGTTGCAGGTACTTGGAAGGCTGAGGCAGGAAGATCCCTTCAGCCCAGGAGTTCAAGCCCAGCCTGGACAAGGATTCAGCTCAGCGGGAAGGCCTTGAGTTTAATGCCCAGTACCAGAGAAGTAAAAAGTCAACACCACCCCCCGAAAAAACAGGGCTAGTGGGGCCTGAGACCCAGTGTGAAGAACTCACCCTCCCCCGCGACCCTTCACAGACCGGGCTGCCTGGCCTCCTCACTTGTGAAGAAAACTTTTGTGGTTAATGAGTCTCAGAAAAGTGAAGTGAAAGTTCTCTTTTAAAGGAGATTAAACGGGGGGGCGGGCACCGAGAGACCGCCACCCCCACCCCTCTACTGGGCAGTCAAGCACAGCTCTGTGCCTGAGACCTGTCCTCGCCCCTCCCCGAGTCACCCCGAAACCTGGGTGCGGTGTGGGCAGGGCTGAGAAGAGGGTTCCCCCAGTAGCCTGGCTCCCAGAGATGTCGTCGCTACCGCTGTGGCCGCTGCTGCTGACCCTGCTCACTGTGGAGCCCTCGGGGGCCGCCACCCTGATCCGGTAGGGGACCCCGGTCGCGCTGACCCCCAGGAAGATTCTGTACCTCTTGCTCTTTAGGCCTGGGTCTCTCACTTTGGTGCAGTGGATGCCAGATCCCGGTGCCTCCCTCAGGCCCCCGATTTCTAAACTAGGAGCTCATTGCTGAGGGCTGTGGAGACCCTGAATGGTGTGTGTGTGTGTGTGTGTGTGTGTTGGAGATGGGACCCAGGGGCGCTCTACCACTGAGCCATATTCCTAGCCTTTTTTAATTTTATGACAGGGCCTCATTAAGTTGCCTAAGGTGGCTTTGAGTTTAAGATCCTCTCGCCTCAGCCTCCCCTGTAGCTGGGATTACCAGCATGCGCTACACCTGGTTTATGACTTTGCACTTTTAAGTCCAAGATTCCTCAATGCTGAAGCCCATGACTGGAGACCCCCCTCCCAAGGCAGTTTTAGTGTGTGTGAGGCCTCACCCTGAACTTTGATGATCTGGCTTGAGACCCCACTCCAGTTCTTGGAGACCTGGATCTATGACAGTTAAACCAGGACTGCAGCGGCAGATTCACATCCTGCAAACACCCGCCCCACCCCCTTTACTGGGAACCAGATCTAACGGAGAGGTTCGCTACCACTGAGCTAAAGCCCTTTTTACTTCTTGTTTTTGGTACTGGGGATCGAACTCAGGTCCTTGCGCCTGTGAGGCAGGCACCGGAACCACTGAGTTAAATCCCCCCCCCGCCTGTACTTATTTGAATACAGGTAAGAGTCTCCCTAAGTTGCCCCGCTGGGACTGAAACTTGAGATCCTCTTGCCTCAGCCTCCCACAGTGCGGGAATCACAGCCCTGGGCGCCTCCCACCAACACCCGATGGAGGAGGGGTCCTCCGGGAAGCGCAGGGGGACAAAGGTGGGGTAGGGGCCCGGGAGCCGCAAAAACAGCCCGCGCCAACCTGTCATGGATGGAGAGCAGCGAGCACTGAACTGTAGTCCCAGGTCCAAAGGTTGCAGTGCTCCCCCCCTCTGGCCCGCTTGCGCCCCAGGTTCGGGTGGGACAGAGACCGCAGGCCGGCGGGGCCTTCATAGGAAAGGACTCGGCCTGACACCCAGGCTTTGACAGCCACTGGCACAGAAACTTCCCCTTTTCTCTCCTTTTTGACACTGGAGATTGATCCCAAAGCCTTTCCACTGAGCTACGTTCCTTCTCCACTGTCTCTTTTAAATTTTGAGACAGGGCCTCACTAATTTGGTGAGCTGCCCTGGCCGGGCTTGAATTTGTGACCCTCCTGTCTCAGCCTCCCAGATTACAGGTGGGAGCCACCTTGCCTGGCTTCCTCCCTCCTTTGTAGGGGTTGAATGAGACTCTGCTGTGTATGTTAGAAGAGCTGAGCCAAACCCACTGCTGGCCTTTGGCTCCACATACCTGCCTGCCCTCACCTCTTGGAGACAAACTCCTAGATGGCACTGTTGGGGTAAAAAGGTGTATCCTAGGATTTTTCTGGCGCCTTGTACTGGGAATTGAACCCAGGACCTTCACACTGAGCCACTGAACTACATCCCTGGATTTTTTTTTTTTTTTTTTTTTTTTTTTTGAGGCAGGGTCTGAAACTCCTAAACTCTGTTGCCCACATTGGCCTCAAACTTGCAGCAATCCTCCTGCCTCAGCCTCCCCAGTTTACAGGCGTGCTCCACCATGCCCAGCAAGATAGATACCTGCTCTTAATGGGTTACCTGGGAAGCAATGAAAGAATTAGCCAATCGCAGAGCTGAGAAAAATCAAATTTGCAATTAAAAATAAAGGTGTGGGCTAGGAGTGTAGCTCGGTGGTAGAGCTGTGGTTTGCATGCATTAGATCCTCAGCACCACACACACACGCGCGCGCAAGCACGCACACACGGAAGCTGTGTATTATTTTCAGGTATTAGATACATATTTGCCAACCCACCCTCCAGCCAGTTTGCACGAATCTACGCCCCTACTCCCTGCTGAGCACTTGCAGTTCCTTGCCAGTTTGCGGTGTGAAACAAGGTTTCCCACTCTATTTGTATCTCTTTCCATGACTGGCTGTGAAGATCCTTACCTCCTTACTGTGTTTGGAAACTGTCTCTGCCCAAACTACCTGCCCGCCCCCGCCAGGACTGTGAAGTTAACTGGCTGTATTTTCTTGGCTGCTCAAAGAAGACAGGAGACCCCCAGGTTAGAGACAAAGGGCAGTTAATCACTCCCAGGGACTGTAGTAGCCACACATCAGCATTTCTGTCCTTTTTCTGAGCTCATCTGCAGCTGAGGGCCAGGCGGTACCTTCCCAGGCAGGGAGGGCATTAGAGGAGAGGAGCTCTTGAGTTTACACTTTGTTTATTGTACCCTCTTCCTCCTTGTCCTCCAGTGGTACTGCAGATTGAACCCAGGACATTCACACCACCCCCAGTTCTGTTTAAATGTCAAGACAGGGTCTCACTGACCTGCTAAACTGCAGGGTAGGCTCAAACTTGCAGTTCTGCCTTAACCTCCCAGAGTGCTCAGGTTACAGAATGTGCTACCGAGCATGGCTCACGTCTTTTACAATGCACCATGGCCTGCCAGCCCTTTGATCTCTGCTCTCATTTCCCAGGACTCATCACATAACAAAATCCTTGAGAAGGCAGCTGATGGCTCTGTGGATTTTTTTTTTTTTTTTTTTTTTTGAGACACGGTCTCACTATGTAGTTGAGACTGACCTGGAACTCACTATGTAGCCCAGGCTGGTCTTGAACTCACAGAGATCCTCCTGCCTCAGCCTCCAGAGTGCTGGGATTATAGACATGCACCACCAATGCCAGGCTGCAGAAATGTGAAGAGACCCATGGTGAATGGTCTCACAGTACTGGGCTCCCTTATTTATTCGTAACTCTGCCGGCTAGGAACATTAACTGGTGTACAATGTATAATTATTTCACATATGTATCGTGTGTGTGTGTGTGTGTGTGTGTGTGTGTGTTTGTGCGCGTGCACGCATGTGTGTAGGACTATATAGGTTTACATTTTTAGATCCTCACTTATCAGCATTTCCCCCTTGGTCAAGTTTCTTGACTAACTTGGTTAAATTTCCCTTGCTCACTATGCTTAGAAAGGTCTCCTCCCTCTTTTCAGCGTTAAACATTTCACTTGCTTCTAGTACTCTTACAATTTTAGATTTCACGTGAAACCTTGCACAATGAATGTATTTTAGGGTAAAGAGCAAGGTCAGGATTTGGTGCTCCCCTCTCAGTGGTGGGGAAAGGAGTTATCATCATGAAGAAAAACGCAAGGGTTGAGCACCGTGGATGTTTTCCAAGGGCTAAGTTTTACAGTGGGGTCTCTGGAACCACCCGAGACTGCCAAATCCTTGGGGACGACGGCTTACTGAGGGTTTCCGAATACCAGGCAGGTCTTTGGTTGTTTTTTTGTTTTTTTTTTTTTTTTTTTTTGGTACCAGGGATTGAACTCAGGTCCTTGTGCTTTTGAGGCAAGCGCTGAAACACTGAGCTAAATCCCGGGCCCCTGGGCAGTCTTTGGGATGATGTTCCAGTTTGCATTTGTAAAGCCTCTCTCCCTGGGGTGTCAGGTGCAATTCCTGCTACCTGGGACCTCCTTAGAGATTTCCTGTACTGACAGCAGCGTCTAATCTGCCCTGTGACTCTGGGACGGTCCTTCAGTCTCCAGGCAGGGTGGCTCCCTAACCGTCAGCATCTTCCCTTCAGGGTCCCGCTTCGCCGAGCCCACCTGCCACAGGGGATCCTGAACCCACTTCGGGCCTGGGCACAGCCTGCAGGGCCTTCCGGGCTGGGGGTACCCCCCAACAGGGACAATCCTGTCTTTGTGCCTCTCAACAAGTTAATGAATGTGAGTCTCCTCCTGGCCCAGCCTCTACCCTTCTGCCCGCAAGCAAACTCCTTATCCTGTCTCCTATTTCGCTATCAGATGCAGTATTATGGGGAAATCGGCCTGGGAACGCCCCCGCAAAACTTCTCCGTCGTCTTTGACACTGGCTCTTCCAACCTCTGGGTCCCATCCAAGATGTGTCGCTTGTTCAGTGCGCCCTGCTGTAAGCTGAACGGGGGTGCAGGGGGTGCGCCCAGCTCCCCGTGTCTTTTTTTTGAGGGGGGACCGGGGAATCGAACTCAGGGCCTTGGCGCTTGCGAAGCCGGCGGCAGAAGCACTGAGCTAAATCCCCGGCCCCTCCCCAGTGTCTTTTGGGAAGACCATTTTCTTCGGACTTCCTCACAGCGAAGAAGCTGAAAGGAGCAGAAGGCACGGGGTAGACTCCCATCTCGCCCTGACACCTCTCTGCTCTTCTCCTTTAGGGTTCCACCACCGTTACGATTCCAAAGCCTCCAGCTCCTTTCGGCCCAACGGGACGAAATTCACCATCCAATACGGAACCGGACGGCTGAGCGGAATCCTGAGTGAGGACAAACTGACCGTGCGTGACCTTCAGCCCCAGGAAGGCTCAATTTAGAACAACCCCAGGGTCTAGCGCCGGCGGTTTAGGGAGGGGCTTGGAGAGGCGGGGCCTCCTGGTAAGGGGCGGGGCTTCTCAATGAGGGAGGCAGATGGGACTTCTAAACCCCAGACGTTTCAGTCTCAGGGCTGTCTGGGTAACGTCTTCCCATAAGTAACCGCCGCATCTCAATCTACTCCTAGATTGGGGGAATCAACAATGCATCGGTGACTTTTGGGGAGGCCCTGTGGGAGCCCAGCCTGGTCTTTACTTTTGCCTCCTTCGACGGGATATTTGGCCTGGGCTTTCCCATTCTGGCCGTGGACAGAGTTCCACCCCCACTGGATGTCCTGGTGGAGAAGGGACTGCTGGAGAAGCCTGTCTTCTCCTTCTACCTCAACAGGTACTGGGAGCAGAGGCCCGGCCCCAGGGAGGACTTCTGCCACCCTTCAGGAGTGTCCAGCGCGGCACCACCGTCCTTTCTGGAAGTCCTCACTCTCCCTTCAGGAGAACACTTAGCCAACATAACAGCACCCCAACTCTCAGAAGCCTCACAGCTTAAGTGACAACTTAAGACACACTACAGTAACTTTCCGTTCCCAGTGCTTTCTCACTTCAAAACCAAACAGGAAATTCCACACTCCGCCCAATTAAATACTTGGAACCCTCTCTTTACCCTTAAGATATCTCACGTTCCACTCAAGAACACTCAGCAGAAGTCAGAAATTGCCCATTGTAACCCAGAGTCCTGCCTGCTGCTGGGAAGTCCACTCTTACGCTCAGAAACCCTTACCGTCAGGAAGCCCCCCCGACCATCACCCACAGAGGCATTCCTGCGCCCAGTTACCGTGACACCCAGCCCACGCTGCAGGTCCCGCCTCCCTTTTCACAGGCCCCATCACTCCCTGCTGGCTCTGGAGGCCCAACGCCTCTCTAGAGACCTAGGCACACAACTCGGGAGTCTCACCACCCACAGGAAGTCAGTCACTCAGCCCCCTTCTACCCTGGCCACACACCAAGATTCTAAATCTCAATACTCCACCCAGGCACAAGGACATCTGGCTCAGGAACTTTCCCCTCAAAGGTTCTACCGTCCACAGGCAGGTGGGGCAGTGGCATCCCCACTTCAGGATGTCCCAAAGCACACTAAAGTCCTTCCCCAATGGTGTTAAAATCACCACTTCCCCTGGACGTGGTGGCACAGGCCTGTAATCCCAGCTCCTTAGTTCAAGGCCACCTTGGGTTACTTCCTGAGACCCCGTCTCAGAATAAAATGATAATAAAAGGGAGGAAGGGGGGTAGAGAGAGAGAGGGGCAGCATTTCTCTTCTTGCCTTGCTCCCAGCCCCACCATCCCACCTAGAACTAAGAAACCACCCATTTGGCACGAAGTCCCACCTCTGGTCGCTCCTGGGCGGCAGGGGAAAGGCGGCAACACCTACAGCACTCTGCCTCTGCAGGGACTTCGCAGGCGCTGATGGAGGCCAGCTGGTCCTGGGCGGCGCAGACCCCGCCCACTACGTCGCGCCCCTCACCTTCCTGCCGGTCACCGTCCCAGCCTACTGGCAGATCCACATGGACCAGTGAGTGGCCTGGCCTTCCGGGTCCTGGGCTCTGGAGCCCTAGGGCCTTGACTAATGGCCGCTCCTCCCCTTGGCAGAGTGAAGGTGGGCACAGGGCTGACTCTCTGTGTCCAGGGCTGTGCGGCCATTTTCGACACAGGCACGTCCCTCATCACGGGACCCTCTGAGGAGATCCGGGCCCTGCACAGGGCCATTGGGGCCCTTCCCTGGCTGACTGGCGAGGTCAGGACCCATTTTCTGGAGGGTGTGGGCGTGGGCTGGGCAGGCAGTGGGAGGGCCCCTCGGTCTCCAGGGTGGGAAGCAGGTAGCCAGGAGGTAGCCAGGGGCAGACGGAATCGGACCTCTGAGGTGGTGGGGCTGGACGCTGCCATGGCTACCCAGGTGATCTGGGGGAGCGGGGAGGAGTTGAGCCGATAGGTTTATTTAGGCCTGGGTGAAGAAGCTTAGGCGACAAGCCTGTCCACATAAGACCCGGATATCTAGCTGCCCAAAACAGATAGTGCCTGATGGCACTGGGGAGCCAGAGAGGGATTTGAGCGGAGCAAGAATTGCCCATCTTTACTTGTTCCTCTTCATTCCAGCATTTCATTCTGTGCTCCAAAATCCCAACGCTACCCCCAGTCTCCTTCCTCCTCGGGGGTGTCTGGTTTAACCTCACGGCCCAGGACTACGTCATGCAGGTGAGGGACCATCACGATGACGTCAGCAGCACGGCGTGCGCTGGGCTGAGGGTGGAGCCGGGTGTGCCTACCAGGGCGGGGCGAAGCGGTGGCTGGAAGGGAAGAGGCAGCTGGAAGAGCGTTACTGACACCCTGTGGTCCTGTCTTGGCGCCTTGTAGATTTCTCTGGGTGGCTTCCGCCTCTGCTTGTCCGGCTTCCAGGCCTTGGATATGCCTCCGCCTGCAGGACCCCTCTGGATCTTCGGCGACGTCTTCTTAGGGGCCTACGTGGCGGTCTTTGACCGCGGGAGCACGAGCAGCGGAGCCCGAGTGGGCCTGGCGCGCGCTCGCGTTCCCCGAACAGAGCAGAGAGGGGGCGGGACCGCGCGGGCGCAATTCTCCGATTGATGCCCCAGCGAGACACACGTGCACCACGGGATCGCGGAGGTTCAACATCCAGGGAAAGATCCGAGATTCCCATTGAATTCATCTACCTGGGTCTCTTAAGTGCATTTTTTTTGGAGAGAGAAAAAAAAAATTGGTGTTCAGTTCACCAGAGGTTCCTGTTCTGTAAGGCTCACAATAATGGAAGGGAGCCTGTGTCTTATACTACGAATCCCATAAAACCCCTGGCGTTCTCTGCCTCCACACAAAGGCGCCCGGACCGCGGAGCACGCCGGATGTTGTAGTCCGCACCTTTCCACGCTCTGGCGAGGGCGGTAGTAGCCACAACAAGCGTAGGAGGCGACAGGTCACGACCACAGCGACAGGTGGCAGTGGGGGGGCGCTGAAATGGGTGAAAGATTTCCCAACCCTTGTTTTAAGGAGAGGGGATGCCGTTTCTGCTGGTCTCGTCTCCGGTTCCCTTTCTCGCCCCTTTGGATTCTGGGGCCCTGGGTCTGCCATAAAGGCGGAGCTTGAAGCCCCGGGGTAAGGGGGAGCGAGGGCAGCCCCTCCTCCGGCGGTGATGTCACTGCCCCCCCGCAGCCGGTCGCTGCCCAGAGCTGCCGGGGCTGGGCCACCCCTCCCCCAACCGCCAGTGCCGGGATACCCCCAACCCCGCCTCGCCTCGACTAGGGGTGAGTACAGTGGGGGGGGGAGCGGAGGTTCAGGTCCGCGGGCGTAAAAGGACTCGAATCCCACTTATGGAAGCGGGGACTGGGAGATGGGACCCAAAAATGACAGCGGAGCGATTCCCCCTCAGTTCTAAGCTTTGGGGCACCGAGGTATTTGGAGGTCTCGGGGATCAAGGGTCTCCCTTTCCTGGATTTGGAACCAATGAGAATAGAGGTCGTTAAAATCAGAGAAGACCCATCCCCAGGTGCCGGACTCTGGGGAAGTGGGTAAGGAGGATTGGAAAGGAGTCTTGGAGATGGTGGAGGTGGGACTTTGGAGCTTTGAGGAATTCTGTGCTTTGAGCACCTGAGAAAGGATGGATTGGGAGGAGCAGGGACAAGGAAGGATTGGACGTGGACAGGATTAGCCTTTCCTCTCCTGGTGTCTGTTGCTAAGCATGGAGCCCATGTCCCAGAAACTCAGGGCCCATCTTGACCCCCGAAGTCCCTTCTAAAAGACAGGTGGGGACTCCGGACTCATAGATCCCCCATGTAGCCTGAAGAGGTCCCACAAGGCCATAAGGGTGACAGCGTCTAAATTTTGGGCCCAGGGAGCCCTCACCGTCCTATTACTACCCCCCGTTGGAGGGCTCTCCCTCCCTCCGTGGCTTCTAATCCCAAATCTCATCCCGTGGTCTCCCCTTTCCAGATCCTTTCTCCTTACCAAACCCCCACTTTATCTATACCATCTGACCTCTACTAAAATGCTGATTCGGTCCCTTGATCTCCTACATGGCTGCAGTTAAACAGGGGGAAGCAGGGGGCGTGCTTTAGGGGAGGTGGCTGGCTCAGGTCCCTGCCCGGCCCTATCCCAGCTCCAGCCTCCACCCCGCCCCCAAATGGCCTGCAAGCCTCACTCAGCCCTTACCCCGTCTCTCACCTCTGGATCGCCTGCTTCTGCCTGGGGCACACCAGAATTTGGGGCACAGAGCTGTGGTGCCCAGATCTTTTCTTGGCCATGGTGGGTCCCATCAGAGGTATGAGGGCTGCACGAGGGTCACAGACCCTGGACTGAGGTGCTGGGAGAGCCTGAGTCTGGGGAGTGACGGCACCACCACCTTGGCCTGCAGGTCAGGCCCCACTTCTCCAACTCCCTGCAGTGACTCAGCCTGGAGTCCAGGCCAGGATGGGGGTTAGATCAGGGTGTGAGGGGCGGGGCGCCCTGAGAGAAGGGGGCATCCAGAAAGAGACATCTAGAAAGGGAGAGACATGGGGAAGACTCAGGGAGGGGACAGAGGAAAAGAATGATGAGATCCAGAAAGAGGGTGGGAGATGGCTGGAAAGAGGGCAAGGATCGGCCTGCAGGGAGAGGAAAGGGGCGGGGAGTCAGCGACCCAGGTGAATGGGCAGAACCTTGAGGGAGTAAAACACAGAGACAAAGAGGGGACAGACACCAGGAGGGAGAGTGACCCAGGACAGGGAGGCCACCCAGAGACGAAAAGCTAAGAGGGAAGACAGGCCCAGGAAGGGACCGGGATCTCTGAAGGGGCAGCCAGGCCGGATGAAAGAGCAGAGACTGGCGAGGCAGAGTTCTGAGTGACTGGCGCACTGCGGAGTGGGCGCCCAAAGACTCCCCCAAAAAGACTAAGGGGAGGGTATGAAGTCACAGCCGCGGAAAGGAGACTGAGCCCTAGAGAGAAAAGGTACAGAGACTCAGAAAAAGGGAGAGAGGTTCAGAGACCCACAGGGACAGCAGGGACCTAGAAAAGAGGGGCACAGACTCAGGGGCGAGACAAACACTTAGAGATCGGAGAGAGAAAGGAACACCGAGAGACAAGGCACAGGAGCGGGGGTGGGGTGGGCGATACGAACCAGCTGCACACCTGCAGCGGGAGGCGGTGGGCCAGGGACCTAGCCGGGCGCCCGGCAGAGCTCTGACCCTCCCCCTTCACTCC